GTCGGCTGAGTCAGCTCGGGTTAACTGAGCACCCCTGCAGGGGCCGTGGTGTCTGAGCTGCCCTGCTTCGTCCTGTCCTGTCCTGTTGGGGCGGAGGTGTAACGGGGCCAGGACCGCGTGTGTCAGCAGCTGGGCTGCAGGCTGCCCGTCAGACTGACACCCAGTGCCCCTCCCCGCCCGCCACTCCACGGCCCCGGGTGACACCGGAGCTGCCCTGGCAGGACCCTGGCAGGATTCCGGTGGGAACAGAGGAGCCAGGGCTGGTGTTCCAGGCCAGGGAAGTCCCTGCTTGGGGGGCACGGACCCGGCGGGAGGCCCCCAGGCGGCTGGACACTGACTGGGGCACACATCCCCAGAAGCCCCGGGTAATGAGGTCCGAGCTCACACCTGGAGGAGGGTCTGGGTGAGACCCTTTTGTTCCGGGAGAGCTGAGAGGCAGGCCTGCTTGTAGGGCTGGGGCCGGTGGGCGTGGAGCCAGAGCAGGGCTCGCACATGGGCTGGGGTGGGGGCCCAGCGGTGCAGCCCTGGGGTGGCAGTCAGTACTGGTCACTGAAGATGCTGGAGTCTTACTCCTGGCCCACGTGGTCGCCAGGCTCCTCGGGAAGCATGGACCCAGGTCTGAGGGCCCTGTTCACTCTCTGAAGCTCATGGAGTCCAGGATGAGCCAAGGTGTGGACTGAGGTGAGGGCAGCTGCCTGCAGCCAGGGAGGGCCTGGGAGGAGCCGGCAGGGGCCGGAGCTGGCAGGGGCCGGGCCCGGATGAGCCGGAGGCGGGAGGTCTCTGCCCCAGCGCCCGGCACCTGTGGGCTGAGGAAGCTCTGCGTCTCCGGCCGCCCACGCCCCCCGGCCCGCATCCAAGGCTCTGGCTCCCACTTCTCGGGCCCATGGAGGGTATTTGCAGCTGAGAGGAGCAGCCCTGGACACATGGTCAGGCAGATGAGCAGGTGGGCGCTGCTGTTGCCCTGGGGGTCTCAGGTCCATGTCCCCTGCCCCGGACAGCCCCTTGGAGACCGTGCTTGCCCCGCTTTCCGCCCGAGGAGGGACAGGTGGGGACACTTTGCGCTTTTCTGGCCCACTCCCTGGCCCGTGGTTCCGGCCGTCAGCACTGACTGCTGACCTGCCCTTTCCAGGAGTCCATGTCAGGCTGGCCCTGGGACCGGGAGACCCCAGAGAGCGGCACCAGCCCTGGGCCGGGCTTGGGGGGCTCCGCGTGAGGCCTCAGAGGAGTCCTCGGGCAGGCTGTGCTCGCAGAAGGAAAACGACGCACAGAAGGGGTTGTTCCCCTCGCGTGGCCTGGGTGCTGCTCCCCACCTCTGAGGGTTGCCCCTCACCCCCCAAGGCCTCACCAGAACCTCACTGTGGCCAGGCCAGCGTGGCTCAGCTTCACCCTCGTCTCAGACGGGCCCTCCAGCCTGGACAGCGGGGTGTCTGGACAGGCTCAGGGTGCCTGGGGACACTGGGGACACTGTGGGGACACTGGGGACACTGTGGACACTGTGGACACTGTGGACACTGTGGGGACACCGTGGGGACACTGTGGACACTGTGGACACTGTGGACACTGTGGGGACACNCCGCCTCCTGGTGAAAGGTGTGCGAGGTTAGGAGATGTCAGCCCGCCTCCTGGTGAAAGGTGTGCGAGGTTAGGAGATGTCAGCCCGCCTCCTGGTGAAAGGTGTGCGAGGTTAGGAGATGTCAGCCCGCCTCCTGGTGAAAGGTGTGCGAGGTTAGGAGATGTCAGCCCGCCTCCTGGTGAAAGGTGTGCGAGGTTAGGAGATGTCAGCCCGCCTCCTGGTGAAAGGTGTGCGAGGTTAGGAGATGTCAGCCCGCCTCCTGGTGAAAGGTGTGCGAGGTTAGGAGATGTCAGCCCGCCTCCTGGTGAAAGGTGTGCGAGGTTAGGAGATGTCAGCCCGCCTCCTGGTGAAAGGTGTGCGAGGTTAGGAGATGTCAGCCCGCCTCCTGGTGAAAGGTGTGCGAGGTTAGGAGATGTCAGCCCGCCTCCTGGTGAAAGGTGTGCGAGGTTAGGAGATGTCAGCCCGCCTCCTGGTGAAAGGTGTGCGAGGTTAGGAGATGTCAGCCCGCCTCCTGGTGAAAGGTGTGCGAGGTTAGGAGATGTCAGCCCGCCTCCTGGTGAAAGGTGTGCGAGGTTAGGAGATGTCAGCCCGCCTCCTGGTGAAAGGTGTGCGAGGTTAGGAGATGTCAGCCCGCCTCCTGGTGAAAGGTGTGCGAGGTTAGGAGATGTCAGCCCGCCTCCTGGTGAAAGGTGTGCGAGGTTAGGAGATGTCAGCCCGCCTCCTGGTGAAAGGTGTGCGAGGTTAGGAGATGTCAGCCCGCCTCCTGGTGAAAGGTGTGCGAGGTTAGGAGATGTCAGCCCGCCTCCTGGTGAAAGGTGTGCGAGGTTAGGAGATGTCAGCCCGCCTCCTGGTGAAAGGTGTGCGAGGTTAGGAGACGTCAGCCCGCCTCCTGGTGAAAAGTGTGCGAGGTTAGGAGATGTCAGCTCGCCTCCTGGTGAAAGGTCTGGGAGCGTGACTCCGACTGGGCGTCCGAGGGAGGCTGAGGGCCGGCCCGCCACCAGGGGGCGCTCAGGCCAAGCGCAGCCGCCCTCCCGGCGGGAGCGGAGAGAACGGGCCGCGGACATGGCCCTTGCACATCCATTTCCTTGGAGCCGCAGGAAGAGACCAGCTGATGTTCTGGCACCGTGGCTGCTGAGGGCAGCTGCCTGGGTGGGGGTGCCCTGCTAGTGACCCCTCGCCGCCACCCCGCCTTCCTGCTGCAAAAGCAGGGGGAATAACAGGGCCCGCCGTGTAGACGCGAAAGATGCCGGTCCATTCAGGGCAGGTCGCGGGGTGCGGAGCGAACACCCGCCCTTGAGGGTCCGCCGCCTTGGCCACGAGCGCCACCGTCAGCCCTTCTTCCCCCGGCCCTTTCCCCGCCCAGCCCACCACCTGGTTTCCTCCTAATCTGCCAGCCTGTTGGCAGGTGCCTGCGCTGGGCGGAGCGGCCGTGGAGCACCGCTTTCCAGGAGATGCAGCTGACATCTGTTGGGCAGCGAGCGGTAAGTCAGGACGCGCTGGGCATCCTCGCTTGTCTCCTCTAAGAATGGAGGCTCTGAGAGGCCAGGGTTTGTTCAACCACCATGTGTCCCCTGAGTATCACTTGGCACAAGGCAGGCTTTCAGCAAACACTGACCAACAATAGTGGGGAAGGGTTTATGAGCATAGAAGGAAAAATTATAAAAACAAAACAAAACAAACAAACAAAAAATAAAACCCCAAAACTAGTGCTATGTGGTGTCAAATTTGTAAAAAACTGTGTTTACCTATCTCCATATACAGCACTCTCTATGTATTTGAGGGAGAAACAGAAATCCAGCCGGTGGTGGTATGAAGGTCACAAGGGGACAGGTTACACGCTTTCTGCCAGTTCCCACGTTGCCCACAGTGAAAGCGCATGTGTGATTTGGGGGAGACTAGCAACCCTGGGAGGAACAGGCTGGCGGCAGGGACAGGCCCCGGGGGGCACTGTGTCCACCAGAGCCACTGGGCTGGGCCTGCCCTGGGGGCCTTGCGGCCTCAAATTCACTGGTCTGAGCAGCTGTGGGCCAGCGAGGCCGAGGAGGGAGCTGGGTCAGGCAGGGGGCCCAAACTCGAAGGCTGAGTAGGGGGCCCTGAGGACTGGGGCCCTCCCGGGGATAAATGCCCGCCTCCCACCTGCAGTCCATGGGGGCTGGGCTCTGAGCACCGAGATAGACAGAGAGCTCCACGGCCCCCAGGCGGCAAGGGTGGGGGCTCGGCCTCCCTCCTGCACTGGAGCGAGCGATCCCGCCACCAGCAGTGACTTTAGGGCTCCACGCTCATCAAGGGTGACCTGGGTCACGGTATTGCCTGTGCTGGCTGTGGCCCAGCTCCCCAGGTAGGGGTCTCTCTGTGGCCTCAGCAGGCCTGGGGGTCAGATCGAAGGCTCCCAGGCAGGGTCCACCTGCCTTTCTAGAGCCTGGCCCATGGGCAGGAGCCACCTTCACACCCACACTCTCCTGCCGGTTCTCATGGGCCACCCGACTGGCTCCCTGCAGGCGCCCCAGCTGACCCAGGAGGTGAAGGTCACCACCCGCAGCCAGACATGCTCATGTGTGGGGCTGCCCTGTGCCCGGCCCTTCCGTGGCTCTGAACCAGGCCAGCTGTCCGTGGTGGCCAGGGATGGACAAGGGCGAGTGTTGGTTGGGGACCAGTCACACTCCTGGCCTGTGGCCTCCTCTGGCAATTCTCTGGAAGCTTCTCTCGGTGTCCATCTCGGTGGCCAGGTGCCAGAGCTGGGAGCTGCCACCCAGGGGCAGGGACAACGGGGACACTTGCTTGGGAGGCTGTGCCTGCTGGTGGAGGCCACGGACGCGTCCTCAGGACGCGCTGTGATACCGTGTCCTCAGTCTTGGGCTGAGTCAGACACATGGCCAGAGGCAGGTTGCCAAGCCCCAGCTGGTTGGACAAAGGAGCCGCAGATCTCGTGGGGTCTCCCTGGTGCGGCTCCCCTCCAGGTCCTGCATCCCTCCCCTTGCAGGCAGCATCTCCCTGGGGCTGCACCTCCTCTGTGTGGTCCTTGGGGCCCCCAGTCCAGCTGTAGGAGCGCCCGCCCCTTGGTCTTCAGGGACCAATGCCCAGGTCCCGCTGTGCCCTGGTGGCAGCTGTGGTTGGGGCCAGGCCCCTGGGGGGTCTGGGGCTAAGTGTGGCGCTGCATGACCACGTGACCTGGGAGGGGAGGAGTGACCATGTGACCTGGGAGGTGTGACCACATGACCTGGGAGGGGAGGAGTGACCATGTGACCTGGGAGTTGTGACCACGTGACCTGGGAGGGGAGGAGTGATCATGTGACCTGGGAGGAGTGACCATGTGACCTGGGAGGTGTGACCATGTGACCTGGGAGATAAGTCCTGAGCTGCCTCTCCTCCCTGATGTACATTTTACGGGACAAGATTCATGCCAAGAAGGGATGGGGCCCTTGAGAGGTACATCTTTCATTCACTTTTTATTGCGTCTTTAAAAGATGGCCTCATCGCTTCCCAGTGATGGAGCATCATGTGTGAAGCGGTCACAGTGCCTCTGAAGCAGGCTTCTCTGGTGTTTCAGGACAGCTGTCTGCATCCTCGCCCCTCCCGGTCTGGCTGGCCTAGGAGCCAAGTGGAGGCCCAGTTACTGGCCAGAGGGGCAGGTCTGGGGTAGGATCACGGGAGGCAGCCTGCCCTCCGCCCGGCCCCTCCCTGAGCCTGAGTTACCTTCTCCAGCCTACGCACTCTCCTTCACCTTCTTCCTGGTGGAGTATGGGATGCAGCACACCCAGCTGGTCCTGGACCTGGAGGCCGAGGGGAGGGGGTGAGAGGCACCCTGCCCCCTCCCACCAACTCCGCGTGGGTAAGCTCGCCAGCCAGAGACAGCTCCCAGGCCCCTCTGGGGCCCTCCCCTCTGCTGCCTCGGCTTCTCCAGCCCAACAGGAGCCCCTTGAGCACGAGAGGCCTGGAAGGCCCACTGAGCCTGCCGCCCCGTCCATCCACAGCCCAGTCGTGAATAGGCATCGCGGGGGGACAGTGCCCACCCCAGCCCAGTGTTTGCGGAGCACCGTGGCCTGTGCCTACTCCTGCTGGGTGGGACTCTGGGGGTTCCACTTCCAGCCAAGGCTGTCTCTGGGGTCAGACGGCACTCCTCTTCCATCACTCACTGCTCTCCACGGCTCTGGGTCAAAGTGCCCCACTGGGCCCCTAACAGGCACCTGGGTGCCCGAGGGGGCTGACTGGACGGACTGAGGCTGCGGGTGAGCAGGCAGGTGACCCCACCTCCCTGGGAGTATCCAGGCACCCACTATGAGCAGACCCTGTCCTGTCAACGGAGCAGCTGTCAGCCGCCGAGGCCTGGTTCCTAGGCATGGCCCATCCACAGGTTCTCTGGGGCCGCTGAGCACAGAGTGCAGGAGCCAGACCCGGAGGCTGAGAGGTGGGCCTGGGCCCGCCTGGCCTGGGGCAGAAAAGGCGCTGCCACATTGTGCCTAGGGTGACCAAGTCCATCACCACGTCCAGTAAGAAACGATGAGAAAAGTGGACATTAGCTTAGGGAAGACTTTCCTGGCAAGCCTAGATCTGAGGCTATGCCAGGCAGTCCTGACACCTTGGTAAAAGCTGTGTGCCTGGCCGTGTGAGCAGAGATCAGCACAGACTTGGGGGTGACACCTCCTCAAAGGGACACTGTCCCCCCGGAACCCAACCCAGGGAGAGGCAGTAACAGCCACCGCCAAGTCGCAAAGGGCCGGGACGCTGCGGCCAAGCACGTCTGGAAGCACAGGAGCGTGGCCGGGGGCCCCCCAGCCCAGCTCGCCCACGCTCCAGCCTCTGCTCCTGGTCCCTCAGGGCCCAGGCTCCCAGACGCCCCCACTGTTTCCAGTTGGTGGCACTTGGGTATTTTAAACTTTCCCTCTCTGTTGTGCTATTTCATGTGACTTCATTTATTTTAAATGACTATCAGTTTTACAAGGTGAACAGAGAAATTTTTCTTTTTAAAACTGTGCAAGCAAATCAGCTGAGATATTAATACGGTTAATTCAGGTGAGAAGTGGATGAACAGCTATTTTCTTGTTTGCGCTTCTCTGTACCATTTAAAATACCATCGACCCACAGCCCTTGGGCGAGCATCGCGCCTCCTCCTGGCTCCAGAGCCTCATGATCTCTACCTCAGAGGGTGGAGGCATTGGGACAAACACTCCCCTGACCACAGCCCACCTCCCCCCAAGTGGACTCCTCACTCACTCGTCCTCTGACACATCCCCCATGTCCTTCTGGGACCGCTTCTCTTCTTTCGTGATGCACGTGATCACCTGTGGGGCAGGAGCAGTTGAGGGGACGGGGCGGGAGGCATTAGGGACCAAGGCTGGAGAACAAGATGGGGCCATGGAGACGGCCCTGAGCATCCTCCCACGCAGCAGGTCCCGTCAGGCAGGGATTTCTAGCTAGGGGACCCAGACCAAGGAACCATGTCCTTGACCCTGGAATGCAAGTCAGAAGGCCTGGTCCCTCAGTCCCAGCTGTGCCCCTGGCTGAACCTTCTCGAGCCACGGTAACCTTGGTGTGAGCCAGTCACCAACTCTCTTCACCGTGCATCATGTTCTGAGGGCAAAGAGCTAGGAAGTACCACCTGGAAAGGAGCAGCCCCGAGGCAGGGGCGAATTAGAGAAAGCTTCCAAAGAGACGGCTACTCGCTATAACAGAAACAGAGAATATTTGTGTTGGAAAGACCCAGTCAGGCCACTGGGTCAACCACTTCCATTTACAGAGAGTGGTGCTGAAATGATGGTGGTGTTGGAGGTGGTGCAGGTGAGGCTGATGCTGATGGAGACAGTGAGTGGGGTGGTAGTCTTGATAATGGTGGAGACAGGGACGATGGTGGTGGTAGGGAAGATAGTACCTGATACAGGGGCTCTCTGGGCACCAGGCAGTGTTTGTTCTGAGGGTGCTACAGAACAATGCTGGGCTGCAGGTATTAAGATTCCTATTTTGCAGATGATAAAACTGAGTCATGGAAAGGCATGGTGACTTGTGTGAGCCTTCCCTGCATGTGGAGCCTAAATCTTCCAGCTCCTGGCTTGGACCACAATCCCACAAGAGGTTCTCGAGGCCCCGGGGCACCTCGAGTGTTGACCCAGGCCCTGGGGTTGCTGGTGGTGCAGGAACGAGTGTGGGTTGGCGTGAGGGGGTGAGAAAGAGGCCCGGGTGCCCTCTGGTCCCCAGGCCAGTCCTCAAACCCCAGGCCCTGTCTCTGCTCAGTGGCCAGCACACCCTGCTCGGGCACGCTTCCAGGGCCGCTGTGGGCCCCGACCTTGCTGCCTCCCTGTGGGTGGCCCGGCTTTCTCGGCTCCGGCGCTTTACCTCCTCGGCACGGTCTCCCAGGTCAACGTCCACAAACACAGGTGGTTTCTGCGGAGGGAAATCAGAGACACGTGGATGACGGGTGTGGCTGAGGGGGGCGGGGAGTGCAGCTTCCTGGGAGGGGCATGGGCTCAAGGCCCCGCGGTGCTCAGATCTGGGCATTCATTACCCCGGGGTCACCACACCCTGGCTGTGTGTGGTGGGAGCTCCTGGCAGAGGGCGGGGAGGTCTGGCCTCCCCAGCACCCTCGGTCACCTCATATCAGGTCCCTGATGACCCAGAGGGGCCCCCCACCTTTACCTGCTGAGAACCAGAGCCTGGGTGAGCAGGCACGCCGAGAGCTGGGTGGACGCTGCACGCCCACACGCTCTCCTGGGCTCTGTGTGCAGGCGGCCCTCCGCCTGGTGCAGACGCACACAGGGCCTGAGGGCCCGGGGTCTGTGTGGCGGTTGCCCCACGTCTCTGCCCCTCAGGCTCCTGGGCTCGGCCCCGAAAGTGCCCCTGGGGTAGCGCCTCGGTCGACACCAGGAGAAGTGTTTCTGGGAGTGGAGGGAACCCCAGAACCCCCGGACACGGGTCCAGGGCCACCGGTGTAAACCCTGGCAAGACCGCCCAGCTCCTCTCCACCCCCACGAGCCCGGGGGTGGGCGGCGTCCAGGGAGGGCTGTACCCCGGGCTGGGGCTGGGCTGGGTCTCCCCACAAGGCTGAGCTGAGGGTGTCTCGGTCAGGACTCTCTGCCCCCTGAGTGCGGTGCTGCTTTGCGAGCTGGGGTTAAGGTGCCCCAGGGCGGAGCACAGAGCCCGGTGCCAAGGGGGCTCAGGGCCGGTCCACGCAAGCCCAGCTCCGCCCGGGGGACCGACCGGCGTCCACAGCAGGACCGTGCCCTGCGGCCTCCCCGCCTGATTCCGCTACTGAAGCGAGACTGTCTTGCCTCTTTTTCCAGAAGGTCGTCTAGCTTGATGGACTCGGGCTCCTGTTCCTGTGAGGAGGAGGCGGGACAGGCCGGGTAAATGGGCAGGGCTGAGCCGGGGGCTGGCCGCGCAGGTGGGGGGTGTGGCCCACCTTGGCCTCTGGGGTGCACTCGTCTGCGCCCTCCCCTCCGGCCGGCTGCTCGCAGCGGGTGCTGGCCTCCTCCGCCTTTGCGTCCTCTGGTGCCAGCCCGCGGGCATCCTGGTCCCCGTCCTGCTTGTCCTCCAGACTGGCCTGGCTGCAGGGGGTGGAGACAGTTGGGAGACAGCTTCGTCCTAACCCTAACCCTAGCCCTGGGAGCCTGTGCTGTGCCCCTGCGTTGGCAGAGGGGCAGGGGTGGTGGGCCAGGCAGGCCCTGGGGGGAGAGGAGGTGCGGAGGCAGAGACGCAGGGCTCCAAGAGGCCGTCCTGACCCAGACCCACCCAGCGCGAGGGTTGCCCTGGGGCCCTGGCAGCCTCCCAGGGGGCAAGCTTTCTTTCTGGAGATCCCGGGGAAGGACAGCAGAGAGGTGCCAGCACCGAGGTGCTGGGCCGGGCTAAGCCACGCTGCTATTTGCTGGGTGGCCCGCCCCTCTGAGCCTCCCTGGACCCTGCTGCCCTGCTTCAGGGCCTCCAGGCCTGGCTCCCGCCCCGCCTCCCACGTCCCCGCACGCGTCTGCATGGCTGCCTCCGCTGTGCCGAGGCCGCTCACCAGCTGGCACCTTCTGCTTCACTCCTGGCGTCCTTCCCCGGGTCTTCGGACTCTGAGGAAGGGCAGCAGAGCTGCGGTCAGTCTGCACGGGTGCTGACGGCCACCCGCAGGGCGCCCAGCTCCGCTACCCCGTTCGGACCCAAGTCCCCCGGCACCCTCGCCCGGGAGCCCACTGGCTCTGGCGTCCCCATCTGCAATTTGCAGGCTAGTGAGGGGCCCCAAGGGGTCGCAGCTGGGCCGAGGGGTCCCTGTGGGGCCTCGCCCTCTCAGTGGCACTTGGGGAGCCTGTGGTGTTGCTGTGTTCTCCTGGAGGCAGCAGTGGTCGGGGCGGGGGGAACTCGGTCTGTGGCCTCCCGGAGGCGGCATCTGAGCATCAGTGGCCCAGGGCACGGTGGGAGCGGGTTCTTGGCTATGGGGTCTGTCTGTGAGCAGAGCAGCGTGCCTCACACATGGGGAGCAGGGGGCCGCATCTCAGGGCCTCATGGGGCAGCGTGAGCCCTGAGCTCCG